CCCCACCCCACGCCAGCCCCCGGCTGAGCTCCCCACCCCACGCCAGCCCCCGGCTGAGCACCCCACCCCACGCCAGCCCCCGGCTGAGCTCCCACCCCACGCCAGCCCCCAGCTGAGCACCCCACCCCACGCCAGCCCCCGGCTGAGCTCCCCACCCCACGCCAGCCCCGGGAGCGAGCCCACGGCCTGGGTCCCAGGAGCGGCTGGCACTCACATTTTGATGTTCTCATGGTACTGCCGCGTGTCGGAGGGCTGGTTGTACAAGGGCTGCAAAGAGAGAGAAGCAGGTCAACACTGCAGGCTGGGGCCCCGGAGAGGGGAACAGGGGCTCTGTGCCTGCGCCCCAGGAACCCCCAGCCCTGGAGCCGTCACGGGCCCAGCGACTGGCCACAGGGAACAGGGCCATGGGCAGGCGCTGGGCTGGGAAGGCCGGGACTTGTTCTTCTGGCCCGGGTGGCCGCTCTGTGGGGTGCAGTGGTGCGAGTCTGTGGGGGTCACAGCCCAGGAAAAGCCTGGGCTCCTCCGCCACTCCACACAGGGCCCCCCCATGCTTCTTGGGTGCCATGGAAACCTCCTGCCCCGCACTGGCCGCCTTTCACGTCCATGGGTGAAGAGGGTCACGGGGCTCCTGTGCACCCGTGCCTCACCCGGTGGGAACCCAAGCCAGGTCCACAAATGTGCCTGTAGCTGGCCGCAGGGTAGAGACTGAGCTCACCACCCAGTGCCTCCTGCCCACACGCAGCACTGCAGCAGAGGATGACAGCAAAGCCTGGGTTCGAGCCCTGGCTCTGCCACTCTGGCTGGCGACCAGGCTGTGACCAGGTGCAGCCTCTGTGTGAGCTGTGCAGACTCCCCGGCTCCTACACAGCGACTAGCTGGGCAAAAGCAGAGGCGGGGAAAGCGGGTCTGTGGGAGGCAGGCAGAGACGGCTTGGGGTACAGGCCCACAGACCCAGCCACGGCCTTGCCGGGACCCCCCAGCTGACCACAGGGTGGTGAGCTGCCACACGAAGCGGTGATGCTGCCTGCTGAGGAAAGACCAACACCGCCCGATTCGCCCGTGCGAGCTCGAGTCCCGGAGACGTGGAAACACACGTCCACAGCGAGCACCGCGGAGGCAAGGGTCTGCGCTGCGGCGTCTGGCCGTCTCCCTCCCTGTCTACCCAGGGGCCCCAGGAACCTCCCGGGCAGCCCAGGTGACGGGAGGAGCTCACACGGAGCGGACGCCGCCGGGTCCTGGGCCTCGGGCCCCCGCAGTGCACTTCTGGCACCTCCAGATCGGGCCCCCGCACTGCCAGACCCAACCCATCCTGACAAACTGCCAGGGGGGCCAAGCAGCGGCAGGGAGGAACCGACGCCAGCCCGAGGGGCTTGGTGGCCCTCGTTTGGTCTTAGGACAATGGCTGGTGGGAGCTGGGAAGAGCCGAGACTCTGGTGCGGGTGACGCGGGGAGGAAAGGCCGCAGCGCCCGCCCCTCGCACACCAGAGCGCCGAATGCGGCGGCCCCGCCGTGAGGATGTCAGAGGCAGGAGCAAGGGGACCCCGCGGAGCAGACGGGGATGGGGCGTGCTGGACCCCCAGCCAAGGCCCCGTGGCCATCCTGGAGGAGGGACAGGGAGGGGGGGCCATATGTGCGCCCAGGCCTCAAGCCGCCGAGGAAGGCGGCCCTCAGGCTCCGGACGCCCCATACCTCTGCGCTGAGCCCAACCTGGCGGCCATGGCAGTTTTAAAGTAAAGGCCTCCTCACCAAAGCCCAGAAGAGCGAGGAAGCCCCTGGCAGGCAGGGCAGGGTGACTGAGAGACCCGACCCCGGGCCTCGCTGTAAAGAGGGGGTGCAGCAGGTGGACAGAGCAGAGAAGGCAGAAAGAGGGTGCTGTTCTGATCAAGGAGTCCAGGAAGGCGGGGGGCGGCATGGCTCCAAGACAGCTTTGGGGTTACCCCGGAGACAGGTGCCCTGGGGACTCGACTGGCAACAGCCGGAGTGTCAGTGGGGCCTCTGCCCTCGGGCGACACCAAGCTCTCAAAATAACACTCTGAGCAGGAAGGAAGCAGACGAGGAGCAGCAGGAGGGGAGGCCGCACCTGCTGGCCCCAGCCTACCTCCACCCCCCACCCCCGCCCCACACAGGGCACATGCGGGGCCCAGGGCACCAAGGGGGTGGCAGAGTCCATAGCCTGGGGGTCCTCCCTCAGCCGCGAGCCCCTCCCTCCCGGGGGTTCCCAGCCACGGGGGGCCCCGACTCCTCTCCACGCCGAGGCCCTGGACTCCCAGCTGGTCCCCATTCCAGCCACCGAGGACAGCCAAGACCAAAGCAGTGCCACAAACTCACACGCCCACCTCGCCTTTACTGTGTGGCTCTGAGCCACATACTGCCCTGTGCCGCCACACGGGAGAGTCGCGGCTATATTCCCGCTGCAGCCCACCGAGCTGACAGCCCTGCAGGGGCCTCTGCCCACGACCCCAGCAGGACACCCCCCCCGCCAAAAAAGCCTGCAGCTCTGCTGTGCTGTAGCCTGGAAGCAATGGCTCACCAGACAAGCCCGTGTGCCCTGCCGCACCCTGAGCCACGGCCCAGCGGCCCGAGTATCCCATCTGGCAAAAAGAGAAACCAAGGCCAGGCACCACCGGTGCCGTGGAAGACGATGCCACCACTCTGGGAGGTGGCCGGAGCGTGGGGAGGCAGCGGAGGGGTCCACACCGGTCCCCGCCACTGCCTGGAGGAGGAGACGCCCGTCCACAGAGCGCGCTCACGCCGGCCCCCAACAACCAAACTCGCCAGCAGATGGAAAAGCCAGACGGGGCCTCGGATCACAGACCCTGACACCCGAGAGGAGGAGGGGCGGGGAAGGAGTGGAGGAAGAGAGGAAGAAGAGCAGAGGAGGAGAGGAAGAGGAACGGAGGAGGAGAGAGGAGGAGAGGAGGAGAGAAGGAGAGGAGGAGAGGAGGAACGGAGGAGAGGAGAGGAGGAGGAGAGGAGAGGAGGAGAGGAGGAATGGAGGAGAGGAGGAACGGAGGAGAGGAGGAACGGAGGAGAGGAGAGGAGGAGGAGAGGATGAGAGGAGGGGGGAGGAGAAGAGGAGGGGAAGAGGAACGGAGGAGGGGAGGAGGAGGAGTGGAGGAGAGAAGGAGGAGAGGAGGAGGAGCGGAGGAGGAGCAGAGGAGGAGAGGAAGAGGAGAGGAGGAGAGGAAAAGAGGAGGAGGAGGAGCAGAGGAGGAGAGGAAGAGGAGAGGAGGAGAGGAAGAGAGGAGGAGGAGGAGCAGAGGAGGAGAGGAAGAGAGGAGGAGAGGAAGAGAGGAGGAGGAGGAACAGAGGAGGAGAGGAGGAGAGGAGGAGAGGAAGAGAGGAGGAGGAGGAACAGAGGAGGAGAGGAGGAGAGGAAGAGAGGAGGAGGAGGAGCAGCGGAGGAGGAGTGGAGGAGGAGTGGTGCAGGCCGGGCGGCGCTGGGGAGGTGGGCGGGGGTCAGAGTCCAGGCCGCAGAGCCAGGGCAATGAGGCCCTGTCTCAAAACCAAGTTCAGAGACGCGAGCCAGGCTGGGCTCGGGGTGCAGAGCTGCGGGGCGGGCGCGAGGCCCTGATGCTGAAAAACCAAGAGGGACAAAGTGTCGACTCCGCCCCAAGGCCTTGTCCACAGGACCAGCCAGGGGACCAGCCGGGGGACCAGCCAGGGACCAGCCGGGGGGGGGGACCAGCCAGGGGACCGGCCAGGGGACCAGCCGGGGGGGGGGACCAGCCAGGGGACCAGCCAGGAGACCAGCCGGGGGACCAGCCAGGGGACCAGCCAGGGGACCAGCCAGGGGACCAGCCACGGGCCCGCTCTGAGCCCAGGGCCCCGCGCAGATGGCTGCCAGGCTCCTGTCAGGCCCCGCGGGGTGCAGCCAGGGGGAGGTCCAGGCCCTGGCCTATACTGAAGGCACGCCACCCCCACCCCACCCCGACAATGGGCGTGGGGAAGCGTCCGCCTGTCCACCCCGGCTGCCCGCACACCTGTCCTCCGCTCTGGGAACCCTGACAGCTCTGGGGGCTCTGGTGCCCACCGCCTCTGCGGAGCCCTCTGTCCCCCTGCGTGACAGAAACAAGTGCCACGGCCCACACCGCCCGCCACAGCCACCATGCTCAGTGCCACCCTGCGACCCAGAGGGACACGTGATCCAACTCCCGTCTTATAATGAAGCACAGAGAAGCCGAGAGACCTGCTCGGCATCACACAGCCATGAAGGGCAGCCCGAGGAGCAGAACCTGGATGGCTGGCCAAGAGCACGGGCAGGAAAAGGGGACAAGGCTCCGGATCTGCAGCCCGGTGCCGGCCCTGCGGTACCCGCTGCCAGGGCTACCCCGCTATCTGCAGTCCTCTTATCTTATCAGGACGCTGTGTTTCCTGCTCTCCCTCAAAGCTGCTGCCCAGGCCTGTGGGCAGCACGCAACTTCCTCCTCCCTGCCCCCACCCAGCCCCCCCAGTCCCCACCGCGCCCGGCTCCGCTCACCAGCTCCACCTGGGGCCCCAGGCCTTCCAGGATCCGATGGGCAGCCTCGGCCTTCTTCTGCAGCGTGGCCAGCGGAGGAGAGGGAGGAGAAGTGAGAGGTTAGAAGTGGCGGCGGGCAGGACGCGGCCCCGGCCGCTCCGCGCGGCCCCCTGCCCGGGCCCCAGGGCCCCCGCAGCCCCCCACCCAGCCGCAAGCACTGCGCCGCGCCCACTGCCTCTGCCAGGCTGGAGGCTGCAGCGGCGAGGGCTCCGGCCGCCATGCCCCCCTTCTTTATTTTCCCAAAGTATATTGTTTTATTTTGTAGGAGACTGAATTCCTACCAGACTTAAAACGACTCAGAATCACTACCATACGGCTGTAGCTGCAAGGGCATTTTACTGATAAGACTTTGGTTGTTTATTTCTGACAACAAGCAATTACATTTGTAAATAAGATCAAATCACGTTGGAAACACCACACACAGAAACCTGTGAGTCGCACTGGCCGTAAGCCCCTCACCTGAGAGGCAACGCGGCCCTGAGACTGCCGGCCCCCGAGCCACCGGCCCGCCACCACTCACACCACCCAGCACTCACGAAAACCGCACAGCAAAGCCCTGCTTCTGCCCTGGACTGCAGCTGAACCAGCTTCTCTACCTGCCGTGCAGACTTCTGACGAGGAACCCGCCATGCCCTTTCTAGGATCGCTGTGTCTCACCATCGGTGACTATTTGCAGAGGGCCAGACTCCCCGCCCCCGCCGCCACAACCCGGGCTGGTGAGGGAAGTGGGCACTTGCTAATTCATCTGCCTGGCTCCTGCCAGGCCTGGGACACCAAAGAGACACCGAGCGGCTGGGGGAGGGGCAGGGCCTCCCTGAGGCGTAGGGGGAGGACCGGGGAACAGGACCCTGTAGCTGGGCTGCCCAGTCTGAAGCCTGAGTCGCGGCAGCACGGTCAGCACACACCCTCTCCTATGTGGGACCATGCAGTGTTTGGCGTGGGCTCAGTGGTCAGGCCGCACAAGTCTGCTGCTCCCCAGTGACCCCCAGCTCACAGCCAACCGTGTGAGACTCAGAGCCCGGGGGGTGTACCCCGCCTCACCGGGCCCCCCACACCGTGTGCCGGGTCTGAACTTGGACCCACAGCCTCAGCGGTCAGGGCCCGCAGGGCAGGGACGCCAGCCGTGCCGGGTCACCCACGATCCCAAGACCTTCGTGAGCCAAACTGGGTGCGTACACAATGCGGAAGCCGACATGGTTTACAGATGGGGAAACTGAGGCCCAAAGGCGGTGCTGCTAGGGGGCTTCCCACACTGCTCTGGGCGAAGCCCGGGTCCCCTCACAGCTGCTGGCTCTGGTTCTCCCACCACCCCAGCTGGCACCGCAGAGTGACCTGTGGCTCACATGTGCACCCGTGTGCCCCGTGCATAGGGAGGTGAGCCTCACAAACGACCTGGGACACGCGCATACACGTAAATGTGCACACGCACATAACACAATCACCGACAGCCCCCCACAATCATGCCAAAACACAGCCACATACACCGTACAAGAGCTATGTGCGCACAGCCAACCCGTGAGCACGCACACGCACGCGCACAAGCAGGCCAACACACACAGCTCTCCTCTGCTCCTCTCAATGGATGGCCCTGCAGCCCAGCTCCTGTGCCTCACCAGAGGGCCCTTGTCGCTGCCACAGGGGAGGGGTCCCAGCCTGGGAGTCACAGCAGGGACCCACAGGCACACTGCCTGTGCCAGGGCTGCGGGAGGCAGGGGGGGCTATGGGGGGGGGGGAAGGGGAGGGATGAACCACTGCTTGGAAAGCCCCAACCGGGACTCAGCCCTACACGGCCGTCCCCACCCGGCAAGACAGCACACGCCAGGCCCACACCTGCTCCTGCGACCCCTCCTCCCCCAGCCTGCTGCGCTGGCCGCCCCGTCCTGCCCACCTGCTCCCCCCCACACCGCCATCTGCGCACACCTGCCGCTGCCCGCACCACAGGCAGCGCCCGCACCGCAGAGCTGAGGCCTGCCACGAATGGGAAATGAGCCCGCGCCCACAGCCAGCAGCACAGCCAGCAGCGGCACGGCCAGCTCAGCAGGCGCTCTGCCCCGCAGGAGGCTGCCGGCTTTCTCAGCTTTCACAGACCGACCCTGCCTCTACCTCCCGGAGAAGGAAGGAGGATTAGAATTTAATCCCCCAGCCCAAACTGCCCCCACCAAGGGAGCCAGGGACCAGGACCCCAGCCCCACCCCTCCGAAGACAAAGGCGCTGCAGGGGGGCCTGGCCACTCAGCAGCACCTGCTCAACAAACACTCCCTGAGCACCTACGCCCCGCCCCCAAGGAGCAGCCACCCAGAAAGCCAGACAGGAAGGAGCGGAGGTGCCAGGCAGGGCAGGTGTGGGAGGGCTCCCGGGACAAGGAGCTGAAGACTTCCATGGCCCTCAGGGACAGCCTCAGACCCAGGGTGGGCTGGGCTCGGGCAGAGGCCCTCACAACCGCCGCGCCCAAGATTGGTGGAGGGGAAGAGAGATGCTACCCCTCCTGCCCAGACCACTTGGCTCACTTGCTGTGCAATCTCAGGCAGGTTCCTGCCTTCTCTGAGCCTGGGGTAGAAGAAATCCCAGTGGAATGAGAGGAACATGGACGGGAGCCCAGGGCAGGGTGATGACCGCGCACCAGTGGGTGAGCTGGTCGGCCCGGACGCGGCACACGCCGGCCCTGGCATCAAGGAGCACAGGCACAGGAGGTCAACAGTGCCGTGGGTCAGAGCCAGGTAGTGGTGGAGACAGGATCTGAACCCAGAACGGCCCGGCAGAGGCCGGGGGGGAACCTGGCCTCTCCTGAGGCAGTGTGACCTGGGCACCCGCATTCCACTGCTGCTTCTGGAGGAACAGGCATAGCCAGTCCCGCCTACAGGACCCGTAGGACCCGTCCTCGGCTCCCAGGGCAGCACCGTGCCCACCCAGCCAGGGAAAGCATCCTGAGGGCACAGCGGGGGCACAGGTGAACCCCATCTGCCACCGGGACACCGCCCCGCTCTGGCCTCAGTTTCCCCTACCTAGGACGTGGAGGGTGAGCAAGGCTCCGCCCCCTGGCCGCTGCCTCGCAGCCTCAGTCCAGCCCTTGGGGCGCCCCTCACGGGGACCCCACCCCGCGTCCTGCCACAGGACCCGCTCCTTTCACCAAAGGCCAGCAGAGGCTGCAGGGCCGAAGAGTCGGGACCACCGACCCCAGCTGTGTGACTGACCGCACAGAAGCTGAAGCCCAGCCAAGGTAAGAGCCATGCGGCCACACCTGCCCACTAGGACAGCGGGACCCGCCGCCGAACACGACCTGCAGCGTGTCAGCTCCACGCGGGGCCCAGGCTCACGCCCCCTCCAGCCCCCGGACCTGCAGCGTGTCAGCTCCACGCGGGACCCAGGCTCACGCCCCCTCCAGCCCCCGGGCCCACCCAGGCCGGGCTCCCGCGGGCCGTACCCGGTTCTCGTCGTAGATGATCTGCACCAGGCTGCGGTGCTTGGACTCGATGGGCGGCGGCGACACGGGCCTCTCGGGCTCGGGCGGCTTGGCGGCCTCCTCCTCCAGCTGTTGCTGCGGGAAGGGAAGGACACAGCGTGAGGCCACCACCGCCACCCCAGGAAGTCAGGCCGCTCGCCACTTCCTGTGAGTCACGCTGGGGACTCCGCACCCACCCTGGCCCCAGCCCCTCCGGCCACAGATCCAACCTTCTGGGGTTCAGATCCCACCTGGGGACGAGCAGCTGGGATTCGGTGCCCCAACCACCCAGCCCAGCTTTTCCACCCAGGGCTGTGCCACTCTGGCGCTACTGGGCTTCTCTGCGCCTTGTTTCCCTCGTGTGGAAACAAAGGGGATGAAAGCCCCCAGCCTGGTAAAGGCTGAGCGAGCAACGGTGTCAGAGCACTGAACGGAACACGGAGTCACCACCACCATCCTGACCACCGCTGCCATCATCACCATCACCACCCCCGCCAACTGCCCTGTGTCTTCACCCTGGACCCCCCTTCTCCTACACCTCTGGACGGACCCCCCCCCTCCCATGCTCTGGTCTGCTTTATACCAAAGAGGAAAGCCCAAACCAGAAAGCTCAAGACACTGGCTCTAGGCTACACAGGAGGCTGTGCCAGGCCTGCCGCCTGCCAGGGCTTCATGCGTGAGATGCATGTGCAGCCTGCTCACCTCTTGGGCAATGAAGCCCCAGAAAGGAATACAGGCCGGGGAGGGGGGGTTTGCTGGGGGGTTCTCCCTGTGACAGGACCTCCCCCAGGCCCCACAGAAAATCCTGAGCGGAGACCGCACGGAGACCCAGCTGCAGAGGGGCCCAGGCCCCGTCCCGTGGGCCAGGACCCAACAGCCCACGCTCCTCCTGTAACCACACAATCTGCGGCAGCCGCTGCCTTTTTATCTTGGGCCCCTGCCTCTCCTCATGGTCCCGTGAGGTGGAGAGGACCTCATTTGTGTGTGCTCGTGTGCATGTGTGTCTGTGTGTGCATGCACACAGGTACGGGCGCCCGTGTGCCAGTCTTGGGGTTTGAACTCAAGGCCTGGGTACTTTTGCTAAGTTTTGTTTTCTCTGATTTTTTTATAGTTATTATAAAGCTACTGTCCAGTCCCTGAGCTTTTTTGATCAAGACTGGCACTCTACCACTTGAGCCACAACTACACTTCCGTCTTTTTGGGAGTCAATTTTTCCTTCCGCTTGGAACCCCAATCCACGGGTCTCAGCCTCCTGTGTGGCTAGGATTACAGTAGGCATGAGCCACCAGCACTGGCTTTGTGCACATTTCTTTTCTTCTTGTTGTGGTCGGTCGTGGGGCCTGAACTGGCCTGCGCGCTGTCCCTCAGCTCTTCAGCTCAAGGTTAGTGCTCTACCACTTGAGCCACTTCCAGCTTTTTCTGCTTATGTGGTGCTGAGGAATTGAACCCAGGGCCTCATGCATACAAGGCAAGCCACCTTCCCAGTCCCATGCTCCTTTCTTGACCCGATGACCGCCTATCCTGTCCTCCAGAACCTGGCCTCATCCTGACCCAGACCCCGCCTCCAGCCAGCACACACTCGCGCCCCCCCCCCCCCGCGCATCACACGCATGCACACATGTGCGCACGGCCCGCCTGCACCGCACCTGCTTCTTCCTCAGCTTGGAGATCTGCTGCTCCACCATGGTGATCTCCCGGTCCACACGGTCCATGCTCTGAATCAGTTCCTCCTTGGACAGCCTGGGGGGCGCTGGCTCCAGGTCAGGGTCAGTGTGCGGGGGGCTAGGCGGAGACACGGGCTCCAACTTGCCGGCCAGGCCACGGTCCTGGGGTGGGGAGAAGGCCACGGTGAGCCCTGGTGTCCAGCACCAAAGAACTGGAGGCCAGAGTCTGAGAACAGCTCCGGGACCCCAGCCCAGCCCCTAGAACACTCACACAGCAGCTCTGCAGGAACCACACGAGGCTCGACCTCCCGGACCTCAGGGACCCACAGGGTCCCCTCAAGGGCTGTTAGAAATCTCCAGGACCTAGGGACTCTCGGGAGCCCCTGGGAACGGATGCAGCTCTTTACTTACTGGCGATTTTCCAGGAGAAAGCTTCACAAGCACAGGCCCCTCACTGGGCTTGGCAGCCTCCTCAGTTTACCCAATAGGACGGGGTAGGCAACAGGGCCGTGGGGGATGCTCATGGAAAAGCAGCCCAGTCCTCACCCTCGCAGCCCTGGGTTCTAATCCCAGGCCGCTCAGTACTCTGCCCCCGGCCCGGGGCTTCCTGCCCACGCAGCAGAAGCGCTGTGGATGCCCCGGGGTCTTGGCCGGCGTGGTGAGTGCGGGGAGCCGGCAGGCGCCCAGCAGCCTGGAGCGGACAGTCCTCCTCGTACGTGTGCTGGAGAAGCTGCCCGCCCCGCTGCGCTCAGGCCCAGGTCTGCGGTGCCTGAGGGCGCGGGCGCCGCCTGCCACCCCACACGGCCACCCCCAGGACACAGCCACAGTCCGGCTGTGGTGCCCCCGCCACCTCACCATCCCGCAAGGCCGCCCCGGGGGGCACCCTGTCCTCCCCAGACCCTCACGGCGCGGCCCGCTGCGGGGACCGGCGCCCCATGGCTCCTCAAACACCGAGGCCTACTCCCAGAGGGCAGCGTGGGGACCACAAGCATGAACGTGCCTTGGCTCCCACGGCCTTCCCGGGTGAGGGCCAATGTAGTTGTTCTTGCCACACGGCCACAGGCCGTCCACTGACAGGACCCGGCCCTGACAGCTAAAGCCACCGGGCCACGGACTGCTCAGCTCTGTGCACAGCGCCTGCCACCAAACCACCACCAAATAGCCATCACCAAATCACATCCCCCGGCCACCCCGCGAGCATACGTTCAAGACAATCTGCATAGCGCGCAAAATCAAAGACCAGGAGTCCGGCGTCGGTGGCTCATGCCTGTCATCCTAGCTATGCAGGGGGATGAGATCTGAAGATCGAGGTTCAAAGCGAGCCTTTGGCAGGAAAGTCCAGGAGACTCTGATCTCCAATGAACCACCAGAAAACCGGAAGTGGGGCTGCGGCTCAAGTGGTAGAGCACTTGCCTTGAGCTGAAGAGCTCAAGCGCCCAGGCCCAGAGTTCAAACCCTATGACCGACCAAAAAGAAAAAAAAAAATCAAAGACTGGGGGGCTAGGGACACCGCTCCCAGCTCTGGGCCTCAGTGGCAGGCCGGGACAGACAGAGCATGGAGGCTGAGACTGCTGCCCTGAACCCTGGAGCCACAGCTCGACCATCAGCAAACCCTGGCCTTGGGTCTGTGCTGGGAGCCGGCTCCACGCCTGAGCCAGGCTGCCCATCTGCCCTGTCAGTGGGACGCCCAGAGCGTTTCCCCTGGCAGTTCCCAGGTCCTGAAGAAAGTTCGCTGGACCCCCAGGGAGCCGTCTCCTGCCCAGCCTGAAGCCCCAGGCAGGACAGCCACGAAAAGGAATGTTTACATAGGGAAAATGGGCGCGGCGGGAGCAGGGCCTTCGCCTGACTCCTGGCTCTGCTTCTGGCCGAAATCCACACACTGCAGACGCAAAATCCACCTGCGCCCGCACGCCCAGGCCCAGCCCGCACCACGTCGCTCCCCAACCTCTGACAGCATGGAGCAATTACCACCTGCAGCCCACCAGCCCCACCGCCCACCGGATCCACCCCTGCCCGGCCCAGGGAGAGGACAGTCAGACCCAGACATAGGAAGAAAGGAAAGATGAGTTGATAGAGACAGGCAGGGAGACAGCAACACAGAGCCACAAAGTGTCGAGAGGGACGAGACGGCGGCGGAGACAAGCTGAACAGAGCCGCCACGGTGAGGCACCTCACGCGGGCAGAGCGTGGGGAGGAGAGGTGCGTCTGCGCCCTGGCTTCCCCGGCAGATCCAGGCTGGGCCGGCTGCAAGGGGTCTGAGGGAGGCTCATCCTGGGACGTGTGGGATTTGCTAATGGGGGCGGGGGACCCCGAGTTCCTGTGCGACCCAGGCCTGGCCAACTATGGACGTGGAGCGCAGGAGCCAACCCTGAACCGGCCAGCCCCCTGCTGGCCCCCATCTGCCCCCCTTGCCTCTTTAACCAACCACAGGGCCCCGCGCCTGGGCCCTGCGCTGCCCTCGGGTCAGCCAGGGCCAGCCTTACCTTGGCGAGGTCCTCAGAGCTGCCGGGCTGGCCTGTGGCCAGCAGGGGCGCGGGCCGCAGCAGGGGGTCGGGCAGCAGCTCCAGGCGCGGCCGCTTGCTCTCCATGAACTCCGCCTCTGCCTTGCCCAGCTCGGGCAGGTAGGAGTGCGGCTGCTGCAGGTGCAGCTCCTGGGCCCTGCGGGAGGCACGGATGCCCGTGACACGGGTGCCGGGCGCCCTGCAGAGAGGGGCTCGGGCGGAGCGCCCTCCCAGGCCCCTGCGCCCCACCGTTCAGCACGGCACAGGGACCCGCTGCCCACCCGACCCCGCGGGCAGCCCACTCACCCGTACCCCACACCTCACCAAGATCCACCAAGATCTCCCAGAGATGCACAAACTACTGCTCCCTCGCCCCCACCCAGGGCAGACAGCGCCAGCCGAGCACAGAACGCAGGCCAAGGCACCCGGCCTGGCAGCTCCGTGATGGGGGTGTGCAGCCTGACCTCTGCTGGCCTCTTGAACTTACTCCCTCCATTTTCCCACAGAGGGCACGGCCTGGCCCAAGCACACACAGCAAGGCTTAGGTCCCGGCCTCCACCAGTCAAGCAGGGTCTGGGCTGCTCTAGATGCTTCTCAACACACCCAGAACAGAAGCCAAGCCCCGCTCCACTGGCCTCACTGCCAGCCCCGGGTGGTCGGACCTCTGCCAGTCACAGGGCCTCTGTGTGTGCCGGGGTCTGCCTGGGCCTCGGGCACCCAGCCCCTTCCCACCGCCCCGCGCCCCTGTGGTCGCAGGACCGCTCGGCTCTTGCTGGCCCGTGTCCTCCACTCCTGCGGCTCTGCCCCCGCCCGCGCCCCTCCTCACCGCTCATTCCCCGGCTGGAACTCGGACAGCAGTGAGGGCCGCCTCCTCTGTGACGGGATGACGGAGCCGGGCGACAGGTGCGAGGTGTAGTCCCGGGGGTGGTGCTGGTACTCCAGCAGCCCCACGTCCTGCGGGGCAGAGGAAGGGTGGGCAAAGGCAAGTGCAACTGCAGCCTGCTTGCCACCCGAGCCCAGCAGGCACCTCCTGCCCCCATCTCCCCAGCCCAGCCCATGGGCACTGCCGGACGCCCCGGTGCGGGAAAGGGCCGCCAGGCTCCACCCGGGTGCTCTGAGCGCCTCCCACGCAGCCTCGCGTGCCCACCTTCCAGCTACACGTGTGGGTGGGGCCTGCCGGGGGCCAGGCTGGCAAGAGCCAGGACCGCCTGCCTGAAGTCTCCTGTCCCCCCAGCGCCCACACCTGCCAGCCGCTGGTGCACGGGGACCCAGCAGGCACTGCCGCCACCCCTGCCCACAGCTGCGCAGGCGCCAGACATACACGGCAGGTGAGCGCGGATGGCCAACTTCATAAAGAGCAACGCGAGCAGAGGACACGGCGCGCCGGCCGGCCACGGTCCACCAGAAAAGGCCAAGGAGCCACGCGGCCCGTGCACGCCCGGCTGCTCGCACAGGGAGGGGGGAAACGGCATGACCAGGGGTTGTCAGCTCAGGAGCCGCCGGCTAGCGAGGGACACACCCTGCACCCTGCTGTGCAGAGGCCAGCACTCTGCCCTCACCGCCAGCGGCAGCCTCGCATGCCCAGCTCACAAACACCGCGGTGTGATGGGTCCTGACACGCCCAGTCCGGCTCCCTACAGCCCTACTGGGCCTCCACCTCCCTCGGAGCCCTGGACCGGGCCTCCGCCTCCACTGGAGCCCAGGCCTCTGCCTCCCTCGGAGCCCTGGACTGGGCCTCCACCTCCATCGGAGCCCTGGGTGGAGTGGGTCTGGCCTCTGCCTCCACTGGAGCCCAGGCCTCCGCCTCTCTCAGAGTCCTGGGTGGACCGGGCCTGGCCTCTGCCGCTCGCCAGGGCCTGCAGAGCCTCCTCCCAGAAGCCCTGCCTCAAGTCTGTGTTTTTCGGGGGTTTTTGCACAGGGTTTCCCAAGGCAGCCCACGCTAGCCTGGAACTCCCGACCCTCCGGCCTCCCCAGCCCAGGGGCTGAGATGACAGCGAGCGCCGTTGCTGTGTTAGCAACACATCCCCCAGGGAAAGTAAACGCTTACCAATTAAGTGGACCCCAACTGCCAAGTGCACCCCAATTTGAGAACTACTCTGTTTTGGAGGAGAAGAGACGAAGCCTGTCTGAAACAGGGAAACAAGACAGGCTTCCCAGCTGGCGGGTCAGCTGGCGGGTCAGCTGGCACACGGTTACGTCGTGTGGCGACTGACTTGCAATGGCGGCATGGGCAGGCCGGTGGGTGGCACCCCTCTTGGTTTTTGTTTTGTTTGGTGTTTGCCATGCTGTTATTTCCCCGGCTCTCTAGAAAGATCCAAACTTCCTTTTGTTGCCTGGCCTTGTGTTTGAGAGCAGTTATTGCCACAGTCAGAAGACGCAGCAGGTGTGTGGGGACGTGGCTGCTTCTGAGACTTCAAAGCAAGCGTGGGGGGCTGTGGGCAGCGGGGCAGGGCCGGGCCTCAGCCCTCCACCCTCCCAGAGGTGACGGAGGTGCCAGCACAGCCACCCTGTGACCCCCAGGGCCCAGGCAGGGGCAGCTTCCAGGAGGCAGAGGAGCAGGAAGCCGGCGCGGGGCGGGCTGTGGAGGCCGCAGTGCCAGGCTGCCGGGCCTAGTGAGATCTCCATGTGCAGCCGGGGTGAGGGAGGGGGAACGGGCACTGTGCCAAGCCCTGCACAGAGCTCATTAGCGGCAGGGGAGAGGGAGAGGGGAACCTGAGGCCCAGAGGGAGCAAGGTACCCTCCCCTGCGCTCAGCAGGGACCACACAGCTTCTGTGAAGTGCATGGTAAGCCAGCATCCTGCCCAGGGGAAGAGGGCGGGCCCCAGGCTCTGAGCCTGAGGGAACAGACCGCCTCAGGAGGCCCCCTGCAGCCCTTCCTCCACCCCAGGACCCCAGGAAGCCCACGGGCTGCACCGGACAGGGGAGGTGGCGGCAGTGAGTCCATTCCTGGACTCACAGGATTCACAGGCCCCTCCTGCAATGATGGGGCTACCACAAGAGTGCCCCCCAGGACCTTTGCACAGGTAGTCCCTCCCACCTGGGGGACTGCCACCTGCCTGGCCCGTCATCCCTCAGTCACAGCTCCACTGTCAGCTTTTCGCAGAGGCTCTTGACCCCCAACTCCGCTCTGGTGACCCCCAGCCCCATACCTCCCTGTACCAGCAGTGTCCATACAGGTGCCCACTTTATTTACAGCCACATTCCTGGGGCCCAAGAGACCCGCGCCCAACATGCCAGCCGTGTCAGCTGAACCAAGGAAAGAGCGAGGAGCCAGGGAGCGAGGGAACGGACAGCCACACCGGAGGATGGGTGGGTGACGGGTGACAGCCACACCCAGAGGATGAGTGGGTGACGGGTGAGTGGATGAGCGGATGGGTCAGTAAGCAGATGAGTAAGCGAGTGAATGGACCAATGCGAGAAGGGGCGGGTAGATGGGCAGGTGGGCAGAGGGGTGGCAGGGGTGGCGCCAGGCACTGGCACCCACGAAGGTCCCAGTACCGCGGGTGAGGCGTGCCTGGGACGCGCACACACAGGGGCCACCACGCCTGTGCAGCAGGCTGCAGACGGGCTTGTGACAAAGGAGAAAATAACCAGATGGCCCCTCCAGAGCTGCCCGGGTCTAACCTAGGCCAAAAGCCAGAGCTCAGGGCCGAGGCCAGGACGCTGCTCCATCGGGCATCAGGGCGCTTGGCCAGCGCCCTGCACAGCGACACACACAGCAGGGCATCCTGGCCACAGAAACTGCCCATCACCCTGCGCCAGCCAGGGGACAGGCCACCCTGGGTCCTCGGGTAGGAGGACAGGGGACAGGCCACCCTGGGTCCTCGGCCGGGGGACAGGGGACAGGCCACCCTGGGCCTCGGGTAGGAGGACAGGGGACAGGCCACCCTGGGCCTCGGGTAGGAGGACAGGGGACAGGCCACCCTGGGTCCTCGGGTAGGAGGACAGGGGACAGGCCACCCTGGGCCTCGGCCGGGGGACAGGGGACAGGCCACCCTGGGTCCTCGGGTAGGAGGACAGGGGACAGGCCACCCTGGGCCTCGGCCGGGGGACAGGGGACAGGCCACCCTGGGCCTCGGCCGGGGGACAGGGGACAGGCCACCCTGAGTCCTTGGGCGGGGGGACAGGGGACAGGCCACCCTGAGTCCTTGGGGGGGGTACAGGGGACAGGCCACCCTGGGCCTCAGGCGGGGGACAGGGGACAGGCCACCCTGGGCCTTGGGGGGGGGACAGGGGACAGGCCACCCTGGGCCTCAGGGGGGGGGGGAGGGACAGGCCACCCTGGGCCTCGGGCCTGGGAAGCAGGAGAAGGGAGGAGCCTGGAATTCCAAACTGTGAAATGAAGGATGTGGCCAGGGCGCCTGCCGCTCCATTTCCCACTCTCTCCATCGCCTGTGTGCGCTGCGGAGAACTACGGGACACACGTGGGCATGTACACACACACACAACCATACACACACACCGCATGTCCACCATATCCACAGACACACACACACCAATACATGCCCAAGTACACCCACCGTGTACACAGACACACGCCATACACACACCTCTACACACCATACACTTGTCTACTCATACGTACACCACACACACCGTATACGTACATACACTACACACACAACTGTAAATACATACGTGTCCATACACGCAGCACACATACAACCACACACACATCACACACATACATGCCATACGCTACACACACTACGTGCACGCATGCATGCAGCACAGCTGGCCTCACAGCCTAACATCCCTGCTCAATGCTGGGGTCACAGGGGCCAGGCCGCCCAGCCAGCCCTGCCCCCGCCGCGGCTGCACGCAGCGCTCAAGCCACAGAACGAGCTCTCCGCCCAGTGGCGTGGGGATGCTCAGGAGGACGAGGGCGCTGGGCCTCTGCAGGCCACGCCCGGGGGGCTCCCCATGGAACCCTCTGCCCTGGGACCCCGGGGACTGGCGTGAGCCCGTCCTGAGGAGAGCGAGCTTGAGCTGTGGGATGGGCAGAGCAGAGCAGGAAGGCCAAGGACGGGGCGGGCTGGAGTGACACCCGGGTCACGGGGGCGGGGTCAGGGGTCAGGCACTTCCGGGAGGGCACACGTGGGTGGCCCACCACTCCCCACCCAAGACGGGAAGTGCGGCTACTGGACAGAGCCCTGCTCACCCACCTCATCCTCTCAGCCGCATCCTGCGTTCCTGCTGCCCCAGGAGTGAGGCATCCGGGGTCAGAGGGCAGGAATGCAGGTGAAAGGGCAGGGGCCGTAGCAGCCTAGACTCCCTGACACTGGCCCACAGGGAAGGCAGGTGAGGAGCACACATCCAAAGGACAGGATGGGGAGCAGGAGGAAAGCCAAAGGCATCTGGCAGCAAGAGTGGCCAGGACAGGCAGCTCAGCCTCACGGGGAGGTCAGCCTGCAGCGGCCAGGACAGGCAGCTCAGCCTCACGGGGAGCTCAGCCTCACGGGGAGCTCAGCCTGCAGCGGCCAGGACAGGCAGCTCAGGCTCACGGGGAGGTCAGCCCGCAGCGGCCAGGACAGGCAGCTCAGCCTCACGGGGAGGTCAGCCCGCAGCGGCCAGGACAGGCAGCTCAGCCTCACGGGGAGGTCAGCCCGCAGCGGCCAGGGCAGGCAGCTCAGGCTCACAGGGAGCTCAGCCCGCAGCGGCCAGGACAGGCAGCTCAGGCTCACAGGGAGCTCAGCCCGCAGCGGCCAGGGCAGGCAGCTCAGCCTCACGGGGAGGTCAGCCCGCAGCGGCCAGGGCAGGCAGCTCAGGCTCACGGGGAGGTCAGCCCGCAGCGGCCAGGACAGGCAGGGAGCCTCCGGGCAACACAGACTCACGGGCCCCAGCACAGAGGCTGGCAGGCTCCCCAGGGCCCAGACGCTGCCGGCAGCAGTGGTGCGCTATCGGGGCCCTGTGCCAGCAGCCCCATCACTGCCTGAGCTGGCCTCAGAGCCTCAGGAGATGAGCAGAGAAGTCGTGAGCGCCAGCGACGGGGCTGTGACGCCAAGGCCCCCAGAAACCAACCCAACCCAGGAGAGCAGAGCGGAGGCTGGCCAGGCTGGAATGGACACAGCTGCGTGGATACAGGACGCACACTGCAAGCTGATCTGCACAGAGCCTCTGGCCCGACCCCGCCTCCACCCTCCGGGAGGCCCCGCCTCCCCCTCCTCCCGCCCCCCCATCTAACGGCTGGCTCCACCAGCCCAACCCACTTGCCAGCACAGGGCCGAGAAGGGTCCTGGGGGAGGCTGGCTGCTATCTAAGACTCAGGGCCACTGAGGCCACACAGCCTGGCTCCAAGGACGTGGCAGAAGAGCCCCCGAGAGGCCGTGGCCGGCCGCGAGTCTTACCGTGTGGGGCCGGGCGATCTGTACCGGGTAGATGCTGTGGGGCGGGTAGCGGGTCTCGGTGGCCCTCCACGTCTGGGCCACTGGCTGTGTGGACCCCGACATGGCGCACGGGGGCTTTGGGGCCCGGTGAGTGGTAATCTCCACAAAGGACTAGAGGCCGGTCCTCCTCACCAGCCCCTGAGGGGAAATAAACAGAAACAGAGCGTGGTCAGCGGGGCCACACCCCACCCAAGTCCGGGCGGGGTCCCCTCACGGTGGCCCCCAGCAGACCTCCTCCATCCAGCCGCTCGCCCACCACCCTCAGCCAGGGGGGAACAGACAGCCCACGTGGCCGAGGTGCCCATCCACAGCTGCGCCCAGAGCCCGGGAGGCCCCATACCCACTGGGCCACAAGCACCACGCCAGGGCAGAGCTTCCCAAAAGCCCCTGGCTGCGGCCTCTGCACTGCCAGGTCTGGGCTGGGGGGGGGGGGGGCACAGGCAGCGGTGTCCAGCGTCATATCGGGCAGGCGCAGGTCACCCAGCGTGACCCCAGCGTAGCCCCACGAGAAGGTGACGCTGACAGGGCAGGACAGGGACAGGGGGTCAGGGGCACTCAGAGCCACATGAGGGGAGGGTGAGGACAGGAGCCAGTGAGGCCCGGTTCTGAACAGGAGAGCCTTACGTGGCAGCCCGGCAACCTCAGAGGACAAAGACCCCACAGGCCCCGCGGCTCCCCGCAGAGCCTCCAGTGCCGGCCGCGCTGGGACCACAGCTGATGACCCAGGGCCAAGCCCAGCCCCGGCCCGGCTCCCAGAGAAAGAACATCGTCAGCCTGGAAGAAGACTCCAGACCTGGAAAGCCAAGCCAACCGGCTGCCGGGTCGCCCCCCCGCCACGCCTGCCTGGGGCCGGTGCTGTCCCCACCGAGGTGCCCGGCCTGCAGGCTGTGGTGACAGCCCCAGGGCTCACAGGAGCCACAAGCCTGTCCGTGTCCTGCTCCCCATCCTCACCCTCTGCGGGCGTGCTCATGCCTCTCTGCCCAGGATCCTGGGTGGTCACATGATCTGGGCCCAGCCAATCACCTTCCTGAAGCCAGTGATTGGCTGTGAGGCGGGCACATGACCCCCAGTCTGAGCCAGGAAGGCTGTCTCGAGACTCTGGCTGAAGACCGGGACTGGCGAGGCCTGCCGGGGGTCTCCCCCCAGCTCTCGGCAGCCAAGCGGCAGAAGCTCAGCAACAAGCATAGCTGTTGGCTGGAAGGCAGGCGTAGGGAGCGAGCCCCCCCCCCCGCCCCGTCTGCCACAGCTGGGCCAGCAGGCCCCGGTGGGAGGAAACCAGAGCCCCGCCTGATGCCCCTCCAGAAAGGCATGCCGTGAGCCCGCCACCCCTGGGCCGCCTGGCCTGGTGCTGGCGGCCGCCTCCCTCCTTGGGACCTCTGCGGAGTGGAGTGGCCACACTAGCGCGACTGCCTCAGACAGCCCCACGGCCGCTGGCACGGCAGCGCGAGCCTGGCCCCCTCGGCTTTCAGGGGTGTCCAGGGGGGGCCTGCAGCCACTGGCCTGCAGCGGCGCCAACAGGAAGGAGCTGTGCCATCCGGGGACCCCCGTCGGCTGCCAGAACAGCATCCCAGCCAGTGCGGCCGCCGCGGCCTCGTGTCCTGTCACCAGTTCAGCAGACCCTCTCCCACCACTTGATCCTCAGGCTTCTGTGTGGAGCCTCAGAATCTACAGCATGGCCCTGGTGTTGGCCCTGGGACGCCACTCCCAGCATCACGTGGAAGGAAGACCCCACCCAGCTCGTGCACACGTGCATGCGCAGAACAGGGCGTCCACACAGCTGTCTGCTGGTGGAGTACTACTCAGCCATAAAAAAGCATCACTCTGAAAAAGGGGCCAGACACCCACACACACACACGGTGCAAATGTGTAGAGCAGGCCGTGCCCGGTCAGAGGTGGCCAGGTGAGGCTTGGGTAGAGGGAAGAGGTTTGATACAAGTGAAGGGGAGGGAACAGCAAAGGAGAAAGAGGGCACTGTGGGGAGAGGGTGCGGAGGAGGCCACGCAGACCTCCAAGAGGAGAGACGGCAGCTGTGGGCAGAGGCCACAGACGCGCACACAGACGTGAGGAGGCGGCCAGCAGGGCGGAGGGCAGGGCGGCCGCAAGGACAGAGGCGGGGCAGCCCAAGCGTGGAGCCTGGTAAACAGCAGGCCATCGACGAGGCTTGCTTGACCAAAGGACAGGCTGAGCCCGGCCACGGGCCGCCAGAATTCCCCTGGGCTGGGGCACCCCATGCATGCTACCCCCCAGAGCCCCGCTGAGACCCCGGAGGTGCTGAGCTCTTCACCGACCAGCGCCCCCATGCAGGGCCTGAACCCAGCCCCCTGTTGCCCCCGGTGGGGTCCCCGAACCCCACGTCCAGACAGGCTCAGAGCCCCCGCAGCTGCATTCTGCCCGCCGTGCCCAGACCCGCTGTGGCGGCATCGGGCAATGCCCGCCGGGGCTGCGGACATCTGGCGCACAGGTCCCGTGGCACTGCGGCAGGAAGCTGCCCCCCGACCCCGCTTCCCAAGGAAGCCATGGGGCTGGCCCCCAGGGGACACGGGCCACGTGTGAGCAACAACCGAAGTCCTGGGCCGAAGACCAGCTCGCCAGCGGGTAGGGGGGCCGCCCCACGGCCCAGCAAGGCCCAGGCCGCACCAGGCCGCGCCAGGCCACCACCTCCCCTACACTGGCTGCTCCGGATGAGCCTGGCTGCAGATGGCGACCGAATGCCTCTAGGGTCCCCACAGCAGCGGCTGGCCCAGCCCTCCGTCCTGCTGGGGGAGGGCTGCCAAGCCCCCCCACCCCTGCCAGAGGTCAGGACCCCCTGCACTTAGCTCTGAACCCTTGCCTGGACCCAGCTGTGCCTGAAGCTTCCGCGGAGGAGGGGGGAGGCTGTCCTCAGACAGCGGCCCTGGGACACTCGGGGCCCCACGCTGGGACACGCCATCCTCTTCACAACACCAAGTGGGATCCCCACGCGGGGCCCCAGGGGCAGGAGGCTGCCATGGGGGTGCTGGGATGCAGCTTTGCAGACACCCCGTGTAGCCCTGGCGGCACCCAGCTCCTCCAGACTGTGGCCCGGGACAAACCTCCAACCTCTAAGGCCCTCAGGCACACTGGGTCCAGGAGGAGGGAGGCAGTGGGCAGAGCAGGAGGAGGGAGGGAGGCCGTGGGCAGAGCAGGAGGAGGGAGGCCGTGGGCAGAGCAGGAGGAGGAGGGAGGCCGTGGGCAGAGCAGGAGGAGGAGGGAGGCCGTGGGCAGAGCAGGAGGAGGAGGGAGGCCGTGGGCAGAGCAGGAGGAGGGAGGCCGTGGGCAGAGCCGGAGAAGGAGGGAGGCCGTGGGCAGAGCCGGAGGAGGAGGGAGGCCGTGGGCAGAGCAGGAGGAGGAGGGAGGCCGTGGGCAGAGCAGGAGGAGGGAGGCCGTGGGCAGAGCCGGAGAAGGAGGGAGGCCGTGGGCAGAGCCGGAGGAGGAGGGAGGCCGTGGGCAGAGCAGGAGGAGGAGGGAGGCTGTGGGCAGAGCAGGAGGGAGGCCGTGGGCAGAGCCAGACCTGTCACGGGTGGCGGCAGTTCACAGCAGGGTCTCCGCCCTCCGCCCGTTCCTCCCAGGAGCCTAGAAGGAGCCCAAGTGGAAGCCTGAGGGTGGTCCAGGCCCCGGAGGGGCTTCCCAGCCTCCGCTGGGCAGCCCGACCTCTCTGGGCCTCAGTTTCCTCACCTGCCCCGGGCAGCAGGGCTCTGGGGCGTCGCTGGGGGCGGGGAGGGCTTGGGGTTGGAAGCCAGCCCCCATGGCACCCCACACAAAGGGCTGAGGAGCCCAGACAGCACCCTGCGGGCTGTGTGCGGGCAGTGGAGCGGGGCTGGGACCCGGGTGAAGGCTGGCCTCCGGCCCTCTGGGCTCCAGGGCAGCTTCGGCAGTGAAGCTGCAGACACATGGCGGCCCGACGTGCAGGACGGGGGCTCCGTGGCCAGCGCATGCAGTCACCGCCTCCGGAGCTCTCCCACCGACTCCCCAGCCTCACCGACGTGCGCGGCAGGCGGCTGGCCCACTCGGCCAGGTCGGCTTCCTCAAGCTCCGGGACGCCCCGTGTCATACCCACACCACCCGCCGAGGCCGGCGCTGGTGCCTCACCAACCAGGCTCAGGCTGCAAGGTTGCACGTGGCCATGGGAGGCACACAGGGCCGGGGCACCGGAGTGCTCCGGAAGAGAGGGGAGCAAGTGGGTGCAGACCCAACCCCACCTTGGGGGCCCCCGGAGGCTGGACTGCCCGGAAGGTGCCGTGTGGCCCTGGTGGGGCTGCGCCTGCGCAGTTACTGCCAGCCCGGCCCCACCCACGCCGCTGCCCACCAGCCTTGACCAGAGAAAGGCCCCGTTATGATGTCACAGGCTGGGAACCGAGCCTGGGCTGCAGGCCCAGGGACAAAGGGGGCATTGTCACGTAAATGCCCCCCCAGAGGAAGGGGCGGACCCAGCTTCCAAGCTGCAGGAAAAATCCACCATCTTCCAGAAAGCCTGGCATGGGGGGGGAGGGGGCGCTGAGGGCCTCAGACCCACGGCACCGCGGGCACAGCCTGGGATAGGCAGCCCTGCCCAAGCTGAGCGGGACCCAAGGCAGAGCCGCCGGACCCGGCAAGGAAGGGCCGCTGGGGTGTCAGGACCGTCCCTCACAGACCCGTGTCCCCTGTCCACACCACCCACTTCCTGAAGCTGCGGGGTGGTCAGACCCCTGCCTACCCTCCTGACCCCAGCTCCCCGGCCTCTGGGAGTGCTGCACCCCTGCAAACCAAGACATCCCAGCTCCCCAGGGGCCCCCAGGCCGGCGCCTCTGCGGTGGCCCAGATTCCAGGGTGAGAGCCAGCGGCTGCACCACACCGCACCGCACCCCAGGGGCACCATCAGCGGAAGCCCCCGTACCCAAGGACACTCATACCCAACGAACTGCCACTTGAACACGGCCCAAAGGAGTGAGGGACCTGAGAGAGGACAGCACGTGACAAGGTCCTGGGGCATGACCGTGGCTGGAGTCTCAGAGCCATAGCCAAGAGGCTCAGGAGACTGGACAGCTCAACCTCTGTGGCCATCCTCCGTGCTGTCAGAGTGGCCAGGACACACGACCAAGCTGTAACCTGTGCCCCCGACACTCGTGCCGATACCCCTTCCC